CAAGGAAAGGTCAGAATGGTGGCAATCTATGCATGGTTTGCATTGAATCCAGGTGAAATGACCGCCGGTATCGATCGGTCCATATGCCGTGAGGGGTGGCGTCCCTATGAACTATCTCATGGCATACCCTACCGACGTGGTTGGTTACGGCCGTGACAATTGCTTTTGAGGAACCATCATAGTCCATGGCGGTCTGAACATGAGCTGATGAAGATTAGGGCTCTAGGAAAGGGTGTGAGGGGGATAATGCAAGATGCGGTTGATATGGGCAGTCATCTCACCTGGACCCAATGCAAGCCATGCACAACCTGCTATCATTCAGAGCTTCCATTATGCCGTGAAGGGTGGCGTCCGTATGAACTATCTCATGGCATACCCTACCGACGTGGTTGGTTACGGCCGTGACAATTGCTTTTGAGAAACCACCATAGTCCATGGCGGTCTGAACATGAGCTGATGAAGATTAGAGCTCTTGGAAAGGATGTGAGGGGGATAGTGCAAGATGCGGTCACCTGGACCCAATGCAAGCCATGCACAACCTGCTATCATTCAGAGCTTTCATTATTCGATCCCGCTAAAAGTCAATCTTACGAGAGTGCAAGATGCAGTTCTCGTGCCTGTTCCTACATCACCGGTCCGTATTAATTAAGATATTCCTTCAACAATAGTGGGAATGGAGATTGTGACAATTGGGAAGACCCCCCTCTCAAAATATGGTGTTTGGGTGCAGTCACCAGAATAGGGGAGCTTTTCTCAATAAGACCTCGGGCATTTTTGTTGTGGGAGTGTCTAAAGCCTCAATTGTCAAACCGTTGGATAAGCAATTCCAAGGGGAATTCGTTTATTGTCTGTCGAGGGACCCGAGATCGAAGAGACGCATCAAGTTTGGCCGTAGAGATGCCCCTACTGCTGTCACCTCCTCATCTTCTGCCCCTGTATCAACTCCATTCATCTTGAGATCTCAACCCTCTCCCTTTTATTGGCTCACTCTAGAGGGGATTACGGTTGGGAACCCTAGCATTAAGGTCACCCCACACCCGGCCAACGCCACCGACCCTTGAGGGAACATCATTATTGATTCTGGAACAACACAAACATTGTTGCCAAGTGGTTTGTTCACAAATGTTAAAGAGGCAGTGCAAAGAGAAATCACGGGCTTCACTCTGATGGACGATCCTTTCAGCAGGCTTTGCTATGCCACCTGCATCTCGGATTATCAACCACATCGGCTGCCTAAGATTGTGATGCATTTTTGAGGCGGCGCTCATGTTGAGTTGTCTCGTAAGGGTATGTTCAGTGCCAGGGTAGACGGAGGTGTAACATGCTTAACTATAAGTGAGCAAGAAGGGATGTCCATCTTCGGCAATCTATCCCAATCAGAATACCTTGTTGCATACAACCTCAGAGCCAGCACAGTCATCTTCACTATAGCAGATTGTTGTAAATATTAATTCTTATGAACCTTTGTGATGTTTTAGCATAACTTGGTGGTAGTTTTCTATTATGGATGTTCCTGCTCAATCTATAAAGTTCAAATATTAACTTTATTCGTCACTGTGCCATATTAACTATGTTCCCACTTTTGAGATCATTTGATTTGATTTGGTAGTAAACTTATGCCATTGATGCCTTGATGGTCCTTTTTCAAGTTCAGGTTAATACTTCATTTACACTTTTGATATTATAGAGTTTAGTAGAGTTTCTTAAGTTGCTATCGTAGCTACGGATGCTTGCCACCCATCTAAAATGTAATCATACAATACTAAAGATCAACAATGCTTGATATTAAAAATGTTTTTTTCATTCTAAAGCATTATTAAACTCTAGATCAACAATGCAGGTATAAGCTGAACTTATGTGTACTTGATACGTCACCATAGAGGATTTCTTGTTCTATTTTTACAAGAAAATGGTAAAAAGCTTAACTTCGGAAAGTTTGTGAAGTATCTGAATGAATGCTCGAGACCTCTAAATGGGTCTAGAATACATCATTTAAGCCGTAAAATGAGGGGGCAAGGGGTGGTACTCGCGATAAATGACTCATAACTATACTTGAAGGAGAAAATTAGAGTACTTTTTTCATTCCAAAAGTGAGGCATTATCAAAATCGGCTAACATGAAAGCAGAGCTAAAAAAGATTTCACCTCATTGGTACGGCCTAAGGCGGGAAAAATATACATCTATGACTAAAAGAGAGACAAATTCTCAAACTAATACTCAATAACTTATTAATCTTCTATATGACTAAATCAATGTCATGCATACCTTGCTTAAAAATAGGGGGGACAAAATGTTGTAGAAGAAACAAATATTCTGCATGCATTAACTAAATAAAAGTAAAGCAAATGGAAAATAATATGCGTAGTACGTAAGAACATTGTAAAATATCGGTAATGCTATCCAGCCTCAAGGATTGCATGCAAGAAGTAGAAGCATAATTACAAATCCATTAAAAATGTAGAATAATCACAAATTACGAAAAGGGAAAAGATATCCGGCCTTGAGGATTTGATGCAAGAAAACACTCAAAAAGAAAAAGAAAAGTTAAAATTGAAATAGAGAAGAACTTAGTCCAAAATAAAAAAACAAGCTTAGCTAGGAAACATAAAAAAGATGTCACCTTTGAGAAAAAGATTGAAGATGGCGAAGGGAAATAGCAACACTTAATTGAAGAAAGGTTAGACGCAAAGGCAGAAAGCTTGGAAAACTCAATTTAATATATGATGAACTGATCGAATGAAATGCACTGGCCGTTGGCTGCTTTATAGGAGTTGGACGTAGCTTAGAGAGACGAATACTATTCGCAATTATAGATATATACACAGCTAGCATGCATGGGAATATGGGATGGGAGTTGCTTTAGTACGAATTATTTAATTTACGAGCTGAACTGTAAGTAACCACGAAATATGTCATTATCGCGATCGATCTCATTAATTATTTCCTTCACTTTTATTTATTTTTTGCTATTACAGTCAAAGCTAGTCATGTGAAGGAGTACGAGCTGAGAAATATGTCATTATCGCGATCTCATTAATTATTTCCTTTACTTTTTATTTATTTTTTGCTATTATAGTGAAAGCTTGTCATGTGAAGGAGATGGAGCTGAGAAATATGTCATTATCGCAATCTCATTAATTATTTCCTTCACTTTTATTTATTAGGGAAATTTTCTAGGATATGACTAAAACTCAAACAGTTTCTCAATCTATGACCTAACTAGTTTTTTATACCTTTGTTTGATCGAAAATCCAAAAAAAATAAGAAAATTCGCTTATATTTAAAGGTTGAATGACCAAAATACCCTTATTTAAAATATGTGCATTTTGCACTAATTTCATCCAATTAAAATTTCTGCACTTTATATTGCTGTTACTGCACATCCGGTAATAATCATTGCACTTCCGTCAAAATTAATTCTCTGCTCATTCACTTGAGGATTTTTTTTAGATTTAATAATTTTATTATTTTACGTCTAATTAAGTATATTGCATTTCGTGATGATATCACTGCTCTGTGTTACTGCAATTCTGGTCATAATCACCGCATAACAAAATTTCTTAATGCATTCATTCACTGTCATGTATAACATGTCTATTACCATATACATTCACCGTCAATACTCCACACTTAAAACGTTCATTGACGGTGTTCAATGCTCATATTTAATGCCAACAAACCCTAATTTTATAAACTCCAAATTTCAAAAATAGAAAATAAAAAATGAGAATGGAGGACCTAGACTAATAGCGAATTGAATCCAAAGCAAACCCATCTTCGCTGCAGTCATCACGTAACACATTCACATAAACTCATGTGCCGCACTCCCTCCAAGGTAATAGGTAATGATTAAATAATGATGTTCATTAATAGTTCAATTGATTGGAAATGAAATTGAAGGTGGAGAGTGTGGGTTTGGTGAGTATGGACATGATGTGAATGGCGGAAAAGTGATTGGCGGCTCCAAGCTTTACGTGAATGGAACTGGCTGCGGTGCGGGCTATCAGGTCAGTGTATGGGATAGAGGATGGTTGCACATGGTGTCTCCTGGACGGCGGCGGATGGCGGGCTATGGGGCGGCGGCAGGGGACATGCGGCTGCAGGTGAGTGGATCTATGGAGGTGGAGAATGGAGGCTAGGGTTGGGGAAATGTGTAGGAGCTTAGAGTTTTATAGATATAGCTTAAAGGGTATATTTGTCAGCCTAAATTATTTATTTATTTATTACAAATTTTAATTAAATATTATAAATTTTAATATTATTTTAGTAAAAAAACTAGTTAGGTCATAGATTGGAAAAATAGAGAAGTTTTAGTCACACATAGGATAATTATCTCTATTTATTATTTGTTATTATAGTCGAGGGTTGGTAATTGACGATTTAATTGATGACGGGCCAAACTTGTACCATATGCATGGTAAGCAATATGATACTGATGGGAGTATGAGACTCATCACTTATGGGAGCTGCTTCAGTATTTACGAGCTGAGCTGAGTATAAGAGAATATATGCACGTACCTAGTAATGTAATACGTACTCGGTATAGGATAGTCAACGCAAGTCATGTGAGCCTATAGCTAGGTACCGTGTTCCTGCATTTATTTGTGATACTAGTTTTTTGCCCGGGCGTTGCCCCGGTTACAACTACCATATGAAATATTTAGTTTATATATTGTGTATATACATATAATGTTTCTTTCGTAAAAACTTTGTAATTTTCATTGTCAAAAGCATTTGATGAGTTTTCTTCGGCCTAGGGTTTTGTCCGGCGGCGAGCGTTCTTGGCTAGCCACCACATCTTTTATTTGTTGGAGGGATTTTTGTCCGGCGGCGAGCTTTCTTGGCTATACGGAAATATTATTATTTCCGTGTAGCCAAGAAAACTCATCGAATGCTTTTGACAATGAAAATTACAAAGTTCTTACGAAAGAAACATTATATGTATATACACAATATATAAACTAAATATTTCATATGGTAAGTGTAACCGGGGCAACGCTCCGGGCAAAAACCTAGTATCACAAATAAATGCAGGAACATGGTACCTAGCTATAGGCTCGCATGACTTGTGTTGACTATCCTATACCGAGTACGTATTACATTACTAGGTACATGCATATATTCTCTGATACTCAGCTCAGCTCGTAAATACTGAAGCAGCTCCCATAAGTGATGAGTCCCATACTCCCATCAGTATCATATTGCTTACCATGCATCATATGGTACAAGTTTGGCCCGTCATCAATTAAATCGTCAATTACCAACCCTCGACTATAATAGCAAATAATAAATAAAAGTGAAGGAAATAATTAATGAGATTGCGATAATGACATATTTCTCAGCTCCATCTCCTTCACATGACAAGCTTTCACTATAATAGCAAAAAATAAATAAAAAGTGAAGGAAATAATTAATGAGATCGCGATAATGACATATTTCTTAGCTCGTACTCCTTCACATGGCTAGCTTTGACTGTAATAGCAAAAAATAAATAAAAGTGAAGGAAATAATTAATGAGATTGATCGCGATAATGACATATTTCGTGGTTACTTACAGCTCAGCTCGTAAATTAAATAATCCGTACTAAAGCAACTCCCATCCCATATTCCCATGCATGCTAGCTGTGTATATATCTATAATTGCGTATAGTATGTATTCGCCTCTGTAAGCTACGTCCAACTTCTATAAAGCAGCCAACGGCCAGTGCATTTCATTCGATCAGTTCATCATATATTAAATTGAGTTTTCCAAGCTTTCTGCCTTTGCGTCTAACCTTTCTTCAGTTCAGTGTTGCTGTTTCCCTTCGCCATCTTCAATCTTTTTCTCGAAGGTAACATCTTTTTAATGTTTCCTAGCGACCTCGTTTTTTTTTATTTTGGACTAAGTTCTTCTTTGTTTCAATTTTAACTTTTCTTTTTCTTTTTGAGTTTTTCTTGCATCCAATCCTCAAGGCCGGATATCTTTTCCCTTTTCCTAATTTGTGATTATTCTACATTTTTAATGGATTTGTAATTATGCTTCTACTTCTTGCATGCAATCCTTGAGGCTGGATAGCATTACCAATATTTTACAATGTTGTTACGTACTACGCATATTATTTTAATAAATACCCCATATATATAATAATTGTTCATTAAAGCTTCTCAAAATAAGAGTGAATATTTGAATAAGCCATTTTTAGAGAATAAAACAAAAATAATTGTATTTATGAACTTAATTTTGTTTTAATCGTATAATTAAAGAATCTTATCCAACTCGATCAAATGGTTTGATTTTTACCCTTGCAGCTAATTAAATGGAGAAATCAACCACAATGATTTACTGCTTCCTGCTCTTTGCTGCTTTGTTTTCTGGCCCATCAAAGGCTGACAAAAACGTCACCAACATTCTACTTAAGAGCGCTGTGGCCGAGGGGGCTGGTAAACTACGTACTTAATTATGTTAATCTTTTGTTGTGTGCAGATTATGTGCAGATATAAATCTGATCATTTAGAAGCTTAACACTCTTCTGTGCTTAATTAATTGCGTTTATCACACACATACGTGTTTAAATTAATTATCTATTGTCATCGTAGTCTGTTTGGACGGAAGCCCACCAGCATACAACTGGGATGCGGGAAAAGGTTCTGGTGTCCGCAGCTGGCTGGTTCACCTCGGGGTCAGTTTAATTTATTTGGAGCAATTATATACAACTAGTAATATGTAATCTCGTTTTGCTTTAGTGTTACAAAAGAAGTCAACATTATAAGTAGTTTATTTGTGACTTCTACTATAAAGTCAACGTCACTTTTGGTTCAATTCAGTCAACGTCATTTAATTAAATTCGATCAGTTCTAGACTTCTAGCTTATAGATCGATTGATTTACATCTCATAATTATTAGATTGAATTGAGAATTTTTCTCCTACCACAGGGAGGAGGGTGGTGCATAAATAGCACCATCTACGACAATAGGCCGTCGGCATATGCCGGGAACTGCACTGCCCGTGCAGGATCCATCGACGGATCCTCTTTCCGCATGGGGTGATTATTTTGTGTTCAAGGGGATTTTCAGCGATAAAAGGAACGAGTCTTACTTCTACCATTGGAACCGCGTAATAGTAAGATACTGTGACGACGGGTCATTCTCCGGAGATGTGGATCAACCCGACCCGGTATGTGTACTATTCGCTTCTTTGAAATATACTCAGCTCCGAATATCTTAAATAATACGATAGCACTCAGCTTCGTAGTATGAAGGAAGCACGGAAACTCTTCATGGTTCACGTTTCCACGTTTCAGAAACTCAGAAACTTCAAATTCCTGTTTCGGGGCCGTTTCCGTAATTAAGAAAAATTTGGAAACCCGTTTCACTACGTTTCGGAAACCTCGGATTCCAATTTTTTTTCTTTTTCAAAAGATTCTGTGGTGGAAAATAATTTTTTATAGTGAATTTTTGTGGTATTTCTCAGCGGCGACACTTGTTACATTTCGTAACGCAATGTATTGCTAGAAATGTATTACTCCATACATTTTATGTTTAATTATGTACTAATATGAAATAATATCTAAATTCAAACATGTAGAGTGATTTTATTATTTGGTTACTAAACAAATTATATTAAAAAAACATGTGCATATGGAAAAACTTGTGGACATACTACCTCCGTCCCAAATTGAGTTGCAACTTTGACTTTTCTTGGTCAAACAGATTCGTTTTGTTCGATTAATTATGATGCCAATTTTTAATTATATTCCAATTTGGAGTTCACAAGTTTGAAGAGATTTCAATGTAGTTTATGAATATGTAAATTTTAATTATTAAAAATTGAATTAATTATCAATAGGAAGGTTTGACTTTTATTATTGGTTGACCAAAAAATGTTGACTTTGCAAAACAATTTGGGACGGAGGGAGTATATTAAAAAATATTTATAAATATATCCTTATATTTGATAAATTTACGCGTTTCCCCCACGTTTCGTGTCCTATATTTTTTAGAAATTACGTTTCTCGCGTTTCCCGTTTCACGTTTCCCGTTTCCGTGCTACTTAGGCAACCATTTGATAAAATTTGATGTATAACGTTTGGCAACCAAGCTTTTCTATAGGGGAGCAAGAATCTATAGAGCGGTGGTGAAGGAGTTGATGGCTAAAGGCATGAAAGATGCCAAAAATGTAAAATTTCTAAACTTCGGGTCCTTTATTAATTAAATGATAAGTGAATTTATGAATAATTATTTTCACATGCTCCATATGGCTGTAAACTTAACAGGTGATTCTTGCCGAAGGTTCTGCCGGGGGAATAGGCGCAATGATTCATTCCGATCATTTCCGAAGTCTCTTTCACCCGAGCGTGAATGTCAAGTGTTACATTGATAGCTCACTTTTCCTGAAATTGTAAGCCAATGTTGATTTTTTTTTTGTATTTATACTTTAGAAACAAGATTTATTAGTTAGCTAATTTAATTATGTTTATTAATTCATATATTGGCAGGAACAACCCCAAGGACGCCAAGTTCTTCAAAACAGTTTTTGGCATGGTTGTTAAATTGCAGGTAATTATTAAACTAATGGAGTAGTTTATATGCACTCAAATCGGTAATTCTATACATAACAAAACTAAGTTGTACACTTGCACGTAGTATATATTCCTAAATCGGTAATTGTTAATTCATGCCATTGTTTTTATTTAAAAAATATAACTAAAGTGTAAAATATTACTCCCTCCGTTTCTAAAAGAAACTCACACTTTCCTTTTTGGGATGTTTCAAAAACAAAGTCGCACTTCCCTTATTTTCTTATTTGGCAAAGAAATCTACATCCAAACAGTGCCAAACAGTGTCAAACAGTGCCAAACAATGTCCAAACAGTGCCAAACAGTGTCTAAACAGTGAAGTCAATTTATTTCCTTAATAATCGTGAAGTCAATATATTTTTTTAAAATCTGGATACACGCGGCGGTTTTTAACTATAAACCGCCGCCAATTATTTAATTTATATTATTTTTTATAAAATACGCGGCGGTTTTTTAAGGAGGAACCGCCACCGTTCGAATAAACGGTAGTACATTTTAATCATATCAACACGCGTGGCGGTTATGATGGTATAAACCGCTGCCAACAATTAAAAAAAATAAAATTACTGATGAAACGCGCATCGGTTCTTTACAAAAACCGCCGCCAATAATTTTAATTTTTTATAGTCCGTATATCTAAGTGACAACTGCAATCCTTCGAGCATGCAACGAAAAACCTGAAACCCTAAAGCAGCTTGTTAACCAGCAACCCGCCGACAGCGCTGAGCGAGGTGGGTACCGCATAGCTGACGGAGAGGCGGACTGTTGACGTAGTTGCGGACGGTTGACGGCTGACAGGTTCTCCCATTTCGTCGCCGACTGCGACAGGTTATCCCATTTTGCCGGCGACGGTCACAGTTTCTCTCACATATCTGTGGCGACGGGGCGAGTAATGAGGCGTAGGAGTTCCGACGACTTGTTCAAAATCTGCCTCGCTCAATTATAAGTATATAACCGACCTTTATAAAGTAAAATCCCTGCGATATTCAAGATCTGTAATATCCTGCTTATATTCTTAATTATTTTTTTCTAATTCTAATTCTGCCCGCTGGGATGGTAGCCTTTTAGACTTTCCGCCGGAGGTGAATCAGCAACAATTTTGGGAGTCTATTACTGTTAATGGGGGCAAGTACAACTCACAAACTTCGCCTAGCACAGTCATACACCCACTCAAGTACCGCGTCATCCATGCCCTGTTGAGTTCCACAGTTTCTGGCCGCGCAGAGAAAGGCGGCAAGGTCTCCTCCACTGACTTTTTCTGTCTCTATTGCATGATTTATGGGAGGAGACCGATCTTTGGCGCTCTCTTCGCGAGACTTTTTTCCAGGCACGCTAGTTATCGGGTCAAGGAGATTTTCGCTGGTCCGTACATTACACGCATGATGAAGGCGATGGGGTATGGAGACCGTCTAGAGGGGATGACAGTCATAGAGCATATATATCCGATGGAGACGCTGCCCAAGGAGATTCCAGCTGGACGCCGAGCAGCTAGGCACGCAGATGATGATAATGGCGCTGAGGGCCACCAGCAAGCTGAGCAGGATGACGCGCATGAGATGGAGCATGGGATGATGCACGGGGCCCCCGTTCTGCCCCCTCCCAGGGACATGTGTTTCCCAACTCTTGGGAAGGGATGCATCAGCATATGGAGGATGTTTATACCCGGCTCTATCAGCATCAGCAGCAGTTTTTCACGCAGATGAGCGACGATGTCACCGCAGGCTTCTCCAGTCTTGGTTTGAGGATTACGTCATTGGAGCAGAGATGGGACAGACAGTTCCCCGATGATCAGCAGCCACCACCTCCCCCTCCCCCATTTTAGATGATGATACATTGTACCCATATTGATCACATTTTGCACTGAGCATGTAACATCGTCCCCAAGTATATTTACTTTTGTGTAAATTATGTATTGAACCTTATGAAATGGTTAATGAATTTACGAGGTTGTAAATTTTTGTTAATTCTTTGCGTGAATAGTAAATTGCACGTGGGGCCCACACCGGGAGCGGGGGCCACCCGATATTCCCGAGACTGCATATTTTATTCATCTTGGTATAGATAATAGTTATATGGTGGTGGACATTCATTTTGGACTATAAGAAAGGCATTGGGTTGACCGATTGGTCAAACGAGGTCCAATTACCGGTTTTGGGTAATTTATCGGATAACAGTCCGAAATGAATTTCGGAGACTTCCAAACTAGAGTTGGGGAAAGTATACTCATTATAAAGTCCCGTAATGATTGATAACATACTATACATTTTATTTGACTCGATAAAATGAAATATATTTGAAACAGTCCGAAAAATACAACTTTCGGGACCGATTGTACACTTCGTGACTTAAAGGGGTGACCTCCCACATGTGTGGGGGCCAACCCACGACTTTAGTCACAAGAGCCATGTGTTTGGACGGCTGAAATAGAGGAGGAAGATGGGAGATGTTTGGAGTTGAGAGGAAAGGCATTTAAGGACATGAGGTGGACCTCCCATCCACACCCATTGGTCCAAAGAGACAAAAAGACCATCCCTACTCTCCCCTCCCTCTTATTTTCGACCAAGCACTTCCAAGACAAGGGGATAGGCTCTGCAAACTCCCATTTCCATAGCCAACTCGAGCTCAAGCTTCAACAAGAAAAAGGGAGAAGTTTAGGAGAGGAAAAATGGAAGAAAAAGTGTGGTGGTTAAGGTAATGACTTCGTATTAGTAGTTCCTCTATTCTTTAACTACCATATGACTTACATAGCATGTAAGGAACCCTTTTAGTATCTCTACATATTTATAAATGTAGAAATAAGGGTTGAGAGGTGGTTCTATGTCCAAGAACGGACTTAAGAGCCAAAACGACCGGTTAACCGGAAAATAACCTTTAAAAGGTTATTTGTATTGATATGGGTTTTGTGGTGATAAAACCTTGTTAGGCACTGGTCAAAGGTGATTTAAGAGCTTACCAAGGAGTCTTACCGAAAACCATGAGCATTGTATTTTGACGCTTATAGGACTATTGTTACCTAAGTTGCAAGGTCTCTAGTTGTTAAGATGGTACCCTTAACAATTGGTATGGCGGTGACTTGGGCCAATACGGGTCTATAACGTTTTCCGTCAATTGAAATTGATTGGAGTCTAACGACTCGTCCAAATTCCTTTTCAGAAATGGAGGGTAGGCGCATGCAGACCAGAAACAATCCGAGAGGGCAAGCACCGATAGCTTCTGTTGGAGCTAGCCGGGCTGCATCTCGAAGCTCTAGAGGTGGAAGGAGAGGCCGTGGAGGCCGTGGAGGTCGTGGGGGCCACCGAGCCCAAACAGTGAGTGATGACCACGTGAGTTCGGTGTACGAGACTAGCACCGAGAACTATGACTCTACATATGTTCTCGAAACGGAGCATGATGAGACCCCATATGATGGGGGTGACTTCCACACCGACGATGAGAACGATGATGAAAGTGATGCCCGGTTCGCCCAAATGGGGGAACTCCTAGAGTGGTATCAAAAGGAGAAACAGAGGAGAGACATGAGACGCCAAGCAAGGCGTGCCTCTCAAGGGGGTTCAGGCCAAGGAAGCCGGGGAGCTTCAAGGGCTATTCCAGTGGAGCCACAAGGTGGCCGGGAAGGAGGTTTCTGTGTGAGAATCTCCAAGTACCTCAAGGAGGCTAGGGCCTTGGGGTGTAGGTCCTTCGATGGCACCGGTGACATTACCGTTGCTGCCGATTGGATCAAGAAAGTGAAAGATGCATCAAGGGACATGCAAACTACTTCGGACGTGAAGCTAACTGTCGCTTCACGGTTGCTTGAGGGGATGGCTTCTACATGGTGGGAAGGTGTAGAAGGGAAGTACCGTGGGAATATCTCATGGGAAAATTTTGAACGGGAGTTTTATGCCCAATACTACTCCGATTTTGAGGTCAATGTGAAAAGGAGGGAGTATACCAACCTCAAGCAGAAAGAAGGTGGCACTGTTAAGCAATTGGAACAAGAGTTTAGAACCTTGGCTAGGTTCTTACCGGAGTATGCGATCGACGAGGACCGCATGACTGAGCACTTCTGGGATGCCTTACTCTTGGACATACGATACCGTGCTACATACTCCCGCCTCATGACTTTCAGTGAGGTGGTAGAACAGGGCATGCTTGGAGAGGCTCAGTGGAATGAGAGGAAGGCAAGGGACGCCGAAGAGGTGAAAAAGAGGAAGTGGAATAATTCGGGGCCGCCCGATCATTCCCGAAAGAACAACCATGGTGGTAGTGGTGGTGGTTAATTTAAGGCGCCGGCTCCACCGGCGAAGAAGAACAGGGACGCGAGGTGGCACGGACCTAGGCCACAGAACTCGGGAGCACCTAGATGTCCCAATTGCTCAAAACAGCACTTTGGGAAGTGTATTGAACCACCGAGGTGTTTCAAGTGTGGGAATGTGGGCCATATGAAGGCCAATTGTCCTCAAGCGACACAGGAGAACACATCGGGAGCCGGAGGAGGGTCTATGACGGGGAGAAACCGTGCGGGACCGTCACATGGTGGCACGGGGAGAGGCGGCGCATCAACGAGCCATGCCGCGTCCGTCAACCAAGGCGGGGCCCAAACACGAGTCTATGTTATGACCGAGGTCGATGCTCGGGCTAACCCCGACTCCGTTGCAGGTAATACCTTGTAATGGTTGATAAATTACATGTTGTTAAGTGTTAAAAATGATAGCGGGCTTGTACGGACTCGTCGGGGTCGATACCGGCCGGTTTTTTAGCAAAATATTGCAAGAATACAGCTGCCCAGGGGTCAACCGGCGCCGGTTGGGGCTTAAACCGGTGCTGGTTCTAATTAAAGGTGTTTAACTTCGGGCTTCTGTAGGTAAACCGGCGCCGATTTTGCCCATAACCGGCGCCGGTCCGGTTTCGGAAAGGCTGAAAACAATAAAAATCGAATTTCCGGGGAAGGGACGAAGGAAAACTGGCGCCGGTTTTGCCCATAACCGGCGCCGGTCTAGGGGAAAATAGGCCGGGACAAATCACCGTGCTTGTAATCGGGGCCGGTTTTTAAAGAAAACTATTTTTCCGAGGTTGCCGAAGGTCAACCGGCGCCGGTTTTGGCCATAACCGGCGCCGGTCCAGTGTACTTGGTGTGTATTCGGCCATTCCAGGGGAAAACTGGCGCTGGTCTGGCCCAGAACCGGCGCCGGTCCAGTACATTTTCGGCCAAAAAATGTTCGTTTAGCCCGTTTTCGATCCGGTACTTCGAGTAGTGTGTCTTACATCATCTATAAATGTAGGAACACTATTGATCAATGGAAGAAATGCAAGAATTCTCATTGATACCGGGGCTCAACGTTCATTTGTGAGTGAAGCGTTCGCCGAAGGTCTTGACGTGCCATTGACGCCAATGACGCAAACCTTGTTAGTCTCCACACCATTGGGAGATGACGTGGAGAGGAACCATTATTATCCATCATGTGAGGTAGAAATGACGGGTCAACCTTTGACTTGTGGCTTCGTACCTCTAAGTATGACGGAGTTCGATGCTATCCTAGGAATGGATTGGCTTGAAAAGCACCATGCTCGAGTAGATTGCTACACCAAAGTGTTGGAACTCGAGGATGATAAGGGAAACACCTTACGTTTCGAGGGGGGTCGGGGAGGATCTCGTGGTTGTATCATATCCGTGATGAGAGCACGGAAGATGATGAAGAAAGGATGCCACGCATACCTTGCTTACGTGGTGGACGAAACAAAGAAGGAGGCTGACATCAACGATATACGTGTCGTGTGCAAGTATCCGGATGTCTTTCCCAAAGACTTGCCGGGACTTCCACCCGATAGAGAGATCGAGTTTGTGATCGAAGTAGAGCCGGGAACAAAACTCATTTCGATCCCTCCTTATCGAACGGCACCGGCCGAGCTTCAAGAATTGAAGGCCCAATTGCAAGAGCTATTGGACAACGGCTTCATTAGACCTAGTCATTCACCGTGGGGAGCACCGGTACTCTTCGTGAAGAAGAAGGATGGTACGTTGAGAATGTGCATAGACTACCGACAGTTGAACAAGGTCACAATCAAGAATAGGTATCCTTTACCGAGGATTGATGACTTGTTCGATCAACTTCGGGGGGCGATGGTGTTCTCAAAGATTGATTTGAGGTCGGGTTATCATCAGTTGAAGATCAAGGAGAGTGACATACCTAGGAGTGCATTCCGCACTAGATATGGTCACTATGAGTTTCTTGTGATGTCATTTGGGTTAACCAACGCACCGGCAGCATTCATGGACTTGATGAACCGGGTGTTTAGTGAATACTTAGATCAATTTGTGATAGTATTCATTGATGACATCTTGATATACTCCAAGGACGAGGAGGAGCATGAACATCACTTGAGACTTGTACTTGAACGACTCCGAGAAAAACAACTCTTTGTCAAGTTCTCCAAATGTGAATTTTGGCTCAAAGAGATTGGCTTTCTCGGGCATGTCATATCGGTTCGGGCGTTGCTGTGGATAACGCCAAGATATAAGCCATCATCGACTGGGAGAGACCCAAAAATGTGAAAGAAATACGTAGTTTCCTTGGCTTAGCGGGATACTATCATAAGTTCGTCGAGAAATTCTCTGTGTTGGCATCTCCATTGACGAAGCTCACAAAGAAGGGGGCCAAGCTCATATGGGATGACAAATGTGAGAAAGGGTTTCTTGAATTGAAGAAGCGACTTACCGAGGCACCAGTTCTTGCCCTACCCAAGCAGGGGATAGGGTACGATATCTATAGCGATGCTAGCATCCAAGGGCTAGGATGTGTGTTGATGCAGAAGGGTAAGGTAATTGCCTACGCTTCGAGGTAATTGAGGAAACATGAGGTGAAGTACCCTACCCACGACCTAGAGTTGGGGGCGGTAGTGTTTGCACTGAAGATTTGGCGGCATTATCTCTACGGGGAGACATGTCACATTTATACGGACCATAAGAGCTTGAAG